TCCGATAATCATTTAACTACTGAGAACTGTGTGAATTCCTGAATTACTTATTGTTAGACTGTACTGACCTCGTGCAATTATGGTTATTAACCAAAATCTGACAATGTCTCTAGTTAACCCATTGAGCTGCAATGTACCTCAGTGTGCCCTACTTACTGAAATTGACTGATTTGTGGTTTATGGGGTTTTTTGTGGCAATTCTTTGGGCATCACAAGTGCATTTGTATATCTTAATACACTGTGAGAATACAAGTATTAGTATTTAAATGACACAATATGATGTAAGTTACCTTTCAGGTATATAATTTGTATACAGCATCAGTGGTGCAACTTGACTTTTTTGACCACTTGCCCTCAGGGCAAGTTGGACATGAAAATTGGTTGCCCTGAATAAAAACCACTTGCCATCAGGCCATGGGGTACCTACGCGGGCCAGTATAAATTAGAGAGACAACATATCCACTCATTGGACTAGTGGCATTGGCTATATGTTACTGCCTCAGATCTAAACTACCTCAGATATAGCTTTGGCTCACATATTAAACAAAATTTGAATCAAGTACACTTGTTTAATGTAACACTAATCACCATTATTTATTTTTTTATTAGTTTTACAATAAGAAATTGAAGGCACAGACAACAGGACTAATAAAGTCCCAAATTAAGTCCTGCCATAAATGAAGTCCTGCCATATTTCGTTTGGTTATGATATTATGAATAAACATTTAATAACCAAAAAGAGAATCAAATGCATAATATAACAAAACAATTTAGATGAATTTGATGCAGATGATTTGCCAGCTTGAACCAATATCGTCGAAGAGCCTTTATTCTATCCGACAATAATAATATGAACTGAAAGCTGGCCAGCTTTTTGTGGCAAAGCAACTTGCCCGTTCGGGCAACCAAGAGGAAACTTTTACTTGCCCATCATGATATTCACTTGCCCCGGGCAAGTGTTAAGTTACACCTCTGAGCATAGTTGCCATTTGGCAGCTGTTGGTCTGGTTGAAGTGCTCAGATAATTTGGGGAGACCCGTGGCATGCTCTCTCAACAGTGAAGGTTCAAAAACACACATGCCGGAATGCTTATAGAATACCTCGCCATTTTTCCGCATTCATTGACACATAAATAAGTACAAGAATCACTTCAAAATAGTTTAAGGTAAAGTTTAGAGATTAAATCATATGAGTATGTTAGTTTGGTTTACAAGGAATTAATAGCGGTAAGGTGTGAAAGTTGTGGGTATTCTATAGTTGTATCAAAAAAGTGAAAAACCAAGCTAACCACAATATAATGCTTGCCACAATGTCAAAGAGCATAGTTGCTGACTAAGAAACATCTATTAGACCATGTACAGTACTTGAGTCTTGTGATAATATCAGTGATATTGCTTTTGTATTATACGATATACTGTAAACTTGCTGTTGACATATTATATTATTAATATTCATGGTTGTCAAATATCATAAAATCAACACACAAAATTCACACACAAAGGTTTAAAATAGTGTATATTGGTATAAACGTTTAATAAAAATGCATACATACGTAACCCATGGTCGGCATGGAATTTTGTCACTTGGCACAGTACTTTAATGTTTTTTAATGTTTGTCCCACATTAAAATATATTGAGTCAATGACAGTGCAACTGTTCATATTAAAACGTTCTAATCACATTTTACATGCACATTTGTATTCAGTAGTAATCTTTTCATAAAGGTACATCAAAGTCCTAAATCAAATTCTTCACTGACAGTAGTGACAGTATGTTATTGACTCCCAAACGACAAATATTATAAAACACGCTTCCAAGCTGAAAAGAAATATTTACTGTTGTCAGTCAGTGTTTAGACTCTTCTCTTTGAATCTTGATCTTCCACAAGTATTGCTGTTGATTATATTCCATATTTTTTTGAAGAACATCGCAGACTATATATTTACAGTATTTCCACTGTCAGTTGAAAAGTTTATCATCATAGTTTCAGTCTCTGGTTTCAGTCGCAAAAGGTTATAATTCTATCGCCCCTTTGCACGGCCATGTTTGATAAAATCAAAGCGGCCCGCACCCCCGGTTTGAAAAGTTAAATTTCTGAAATATTCAAAATTTGAAGCATCACGTGACCAGCCTTTACCAGGGCCTTTGCTGCTTCGCCTCCTTCCTCAATAGGCCCTGGGGACGAGGTTGCGAAATACATGCATGAAGTAACCCGTTGCACTTTCTAACCAAAACTATATAGTTGCCGGAATTAAAGGACATTGGCAACCAAAATTTTTATTACTTATATCTATTAGGTATAGTTACAGAATATTCAATTTCATATTTTGGCCGGTTTGTCGCGTTTAGTTATTGAGAAAATTTTATAAAAACAAGCGCGTATGCTAATTTATGCCACAAAATACATTATCTCACGTCATTGGCTGGGTAAACACAATCTCATGACTATAAACAATAAAACAATACCGTGTATTAGTGATTACCACGCGTAGTGCATTTTGAGCCAAAACAAAAGACAGAAAAGTTTTACCAAGTATGTAACTTGTTTGTAACACTATTTCTCATAGTATATATCCTACTCCGTGTTAAATAAACGCGGAAATTCGAGTGTAACAAGGCAAATACTAATGCAATATTTTATGACCAATTACCTGTATTGTAAATTGCGCCATTTCTTGCTTTCCCAGTCGCTCGATATGTTTTTATCTGATAGTGTAGACTTCCCTTGTTTGATTGCGAAGAGTGTTGGCCAGTACTACAGGGTGTATCAAAATAAACGCAATTCATCTTTTGTGCTTAATAACTTTCGAAATACTATTTCTAGTTAAACGCATTTAGGCTTACTTCAAAGCCTGTTCTTTTCTCCTTCAAATAAACTATTATCCTTGTCTCCAATGCTTGTAATAATTGCACAGGAAAAGATTTAGTAAAACCTATCATTTTTAGTTGCTGTTTAATTATGCAAGTCTACTATGTTATTGTTTAGTCGGTTTAAATGTTAGAATTTTCTTCTTTAAACTTTAATGTTGTCGTCACTACATCTGGAAAACCACGTAAGAACAAATTAAAAGTATTTTAAAAGAGACCAGGTTGTTTGAAAATCCCAAACGAACGCTAAAAATCATAGAATCAAAACATTCTGGTGTCTGAGCCAGAGTGTCATCGAATTGCGATGTAATGTAAACAGAAATTATAGCAAGCTGATGTCAGTCAGCTTAGATGGTCCAAGCCAAAATTATATCGCATTTGAAGTTTCAAACTGTGTTAAAAATAGTGGAAGAAAAGCCGTAATTATACTTATTGTTACAATCCATTTAATAAAATGCAACATTTGTTTGTTTTAATGAAAAAATCAGTTATTTTCATGAGAACGATTTGTTATTCCATCTCAATTTTTTTAATCTCCAATCGCAACAACGTAAAGTATTATTACCCGCGAACCAACGAGTCAAATTTAAGAAACAACCCACTGTTAGAAAGCTGAATGGCTACGCTTTAAAATGAATGTAAACTTTAACGTTTTCGTCTATTATTTGTTTAGCAATTTACATTTCAGTTGAGGATTGCGTTTTTTTTATACACCTAGCTGTATAACGCTCAAAAACGACATATTTTTAGCTAACATAACACGCAGCTACCCATCTAATGACGTTACAAAGTTCATTGACCTTCGAGATAATTTTTCAAAAATATTTTCCAAGATGGCGGCGAAACAGAAAGTTTGCATGCATTTTACTCGTAGACTAAAGTGTTCGAGAAGGAAATGATAATATTTTCATAGTCAGGTCGTCAAGTAGGATTGAAATAGCCAATAAAAATTTTCGTTGCCATTGACCTTTAAAATGTATTTTCTTTCAACTGCCATTTTCCTCGAACCAACAGCGCTGACGCGCCGTTTGAGTTTTTTGGTCTATAGCCTGGGGCGAGGGTACTAAATCTCCTTGGCTGTCTTGGCTACATGCAAGTACCCGAGTACGTGAGAACATAGCGAAGTCATTCAAAGTTACTGAGCAAAATGCAACGTGCTCTTCCATTATGTCATGGATGTTAAGCCATTCTCTTTGTTATGCTAAATTACGTACTTAATTAATTAAACTTTGTGAAAAACAAAGAAACGTTTGCAAAATTATAACAAAGGTGGTTCAACAAACTTTGAAACAAAAACAAGAGCAGATTTACGAAATAAAGTCTTGTTGCGTGTCAAGGAACGGAATAGAAATACTCTAATTTAGCTTAGATGATGAACTTTTAATCATGCATATAATAATAGGTCGATGTCAAGAGTATCTTCATGTACATGATGTCCCCGCAAATTTAATTACACAGGGTGTATCAAAAAAAAGATAATCGAACTTCAGCGCGCTATTGTATCTGAATTACTCCGCGTATGAACGACATTTTTTCACATTCGGAAAGATCATGCTTTTAGCTGTCGAATGATATCTTCTTCATGCCAAACAGATAAAAAATGAGCAAATACAAATACAATAAAGAAATCGCATTGCTTAAAGGCACAGTGCAGCCTTTTGAATGATTTTTTTTAAGGCGCATTTCAGCCCTTTTAATGGACAACTTGCATGTTAGACTAAATTTTAATCTAAGCAGAGAAAAGGGAATCAAACACCACAGCTGAAAAGAACATACTAAAATTAGTAAAACTGCAAAATTTGGTTGCGAAATGTTGTAAAGCTTGAAAAATATAGCTTTGTAAAGTTTGCATATTTTCAGTATATTTGTATTACGAGCGGAAATTGTTACCATTTTCGGCTCAAAAATGGTAACAATTTCCGCACGTAATACAAATATACTGAAAATATGCAAAATTTGCAAAGCTATATTTTCCAAGCTTTACAACATTTGGCAACCAAATTTTGCAAGTTTACTAATTTTAATAAGTTCTTAACGGGAATTTACTTTTTTTGCCTAGATCAGCTAGATCAAAAATTTGTCTAACATGCAAGTTGTCTATTGAAAAAACTAACTATAGGAAAATCAATTAAGCATGATTCAAAATCAGCAAACTCAATGTTTTTAACATTAAAAATGTTTTAAAATGTTAAAAACATTAAGTTTGCCGATCTTGAATTATGCGTAATTGATTTTCCTAGTTAGTTTTTTCAATTAAAAGGGCTGAAATGCGCCATAAAAAACATCGTTCAAAAGGCTGAATGTGCCTTTAAGAGTAGCTTGTGCTTCTAGGTTGTTTCAAACTCAGGTAGACGAAACATTAATACGCGGTAGAAGTGGCCATCGTTCAAATGCTTTGCTAAGTTATCGGAAATCAAACTTAGAGGGAGAAATAAATATCAGTAAGGCGCTGGGACCATCAGTTTTAAGTAATGTAACTAGTGCTACAATAAGTTCATTTCATTTTAGCCAATAACATGAAACAATAGTTCAATACTTTACCCACGAAACAAACAACTCGTACGAGGTCTAGACTTTCCCACAGTCCTTTCAAGTTTTTTCCCCACGGTTCGCAAGTACGCCGGAAAGGAGTTTTCACCATTGCAGCGCGCCAAGTCTACCGGTGGATTTTTTGACCGAGGTGTGACTGGGGATGTGTCATTATTCTAGCCAATAAGAAGCGCATACTTAAATTATTTAAATTAATTATTCAAATATTGTTACAGTAATTAGGCTTACGACTTATTTAATACAAATAAACAATAAAACAAAGTAATTTCAAAGTAGAAAATATGGTTAGTTCTCGAAGATGCAATAAAATATTGGCAACAGAGACGAACTGTTGTTGAACGGAGTTAATTTTCTAAACTAAAGCAGCATTTTTGTCCCTACAAGAACGGCAAACAACATTTGTTAGAATGTTTAATAATAATGTAGTTTCACCACAATGAACTCTTCCAATTATTATTATTGTAATAGTTCAATGTTTTCGCACACATACGTCTTTTTAGGTCCAGGAAAGAATCGCCGACGCTCATCTACATCTTCCATGTCTTTATCACATTGTAAACACAACGTGTCATGGAATTTGGAGAAACGGATCGTCTTAAAAATATAGTCATAGAAAGAAATATAAATCTACCGTATATTTATACGGCATTCATGCGTTTTAGGCATTTTTTACTCAAGTTTTTTCACTCGAAGACAACAAAATAAAACAAACTGTTAGTTCTTTCATTTACATCCAGTAGATTTCTCGGTCAGTGACTTAAAAGATGGCGTCATTGCTCACATTTCATGGCGTGGATTACACTGGCGGCCAACGCGTGCTCATAAAAAATCGCGGACACAATTTTTGCTGAGTGAGACATCTGGTACAATCTATCATCTGTGGCAACACTGACGTACATGTAAACGCGAGCCTGCGCTCAGTGTTAATTGATCAATTACTAATACTTCATGTAACATCAATGTTTGGAAAATACATGTGAGGGGTTGCTGCTTGCATGCATTTCTAGCCAATCTGATATTCATATAGTTGTTTTGAACGTATCAGCTGTTACGTTCTTTTTCTCAGGAATATGTTTAAATTCGTTGCACAGTAAATTTTGAGGAGTTAAGCACTAAAGGAGTCAAAACTACTGCAACCCTAGGATTTGAATGGAGAAGAGGAGTTATTGTAACTCCAAAAATGGAATAGATTCTACTATTTGTGGAATTAAACCACTCCGAATGTGGAGTTAAAATCCATAGATTACGCCTAGTGCGGAGTTGTTTTAACTACATGGAGTTAAAACAGCGCCTTCAACGGAGTAAAAACAACTCCATAGCAGAGTTAAAACTACTCTTTACTTAATTATTATTATATTTTATTATAAACTCTCTGATGGTAGTGAAATCAACTCCTTCAACGGAGTTAACACATCTCCAATATCCTTAAGAGTCATTACGAATAAGGGTGAAAACAATGTTAACTGCTTAAATAGAGTAGAACAACTCCCATAGCAGAGTGAAAATTATAGTGTTGAAACAACACACCTATCATTTTGCCCGCGATGTAGAATTATCCGAACCCCTATAAATTCTGCTGTTGTGTCGATTGTTGTAGTTAGTTCAAAACAATTAGACAAGTATACACTGCAAATTTAAAAGCGCCATTTTGACTTCAAAGAGTCATTTCACTATTTTTAATCGTGGAGATACTTTTACTCCTTTGTCGAGTCCATTCGACTGTAAAAAGTCTTTTTGACACTGATAAAGACAGTGGCGTAGCCAGGGTCCAAACTTGGGGGGGGTTGGGGGCATTTGTAATGCGAGCGCCAAAGGCTCCAAGAATCTATGGGGTACGGAGGTATGCCCCCCTCCCCCGGAAAAATTTTGAATTTTTACGACACTCGCTCGCGGTTTGAAGAAAAGTTCCCACCATAAAAAGCCATTGTTTGATCCAAAAAATATTTTTGTATAAACATTGTACTGTACACACAAATACAAGAGCAAAATAGCACATTGTCTTCGTTTTTCAAGTGGAAATATATTGTAATAGAAATAATGAACTTGCCTACTGCGATGCGTGTAATTTCAAGTTCAAATGGGCATTCAACCACCATAGGCATTTTTACTGCAGTTAGGATTATACTCATTCCAGATAGGGAAGAGTATATTGAAAAACTGACGAAATAGGAATTATTATTCACACATCGTTTGTATTATTGACCCCCAGCCCAATTAGTTCTTGGATCAGTTGGAATTGAATAAACTTTTTCCAATGCTAGTTCTCTTCGAAAATTCTAACACCCGAATTAAATATACCCGAATTACCCCAACACCTGACGGATGGGAAATTTTGGCGGGAAACTGAAAAGTTTACATTGACAACAGAACAAAATTTTAGACAAAAATATACAGCTTTTTATATCGCTTTAATATATACAATAAATATCAACGTTTGTTGTCAGAAAAGATGAACAACTTATGCTGTATAGAAAGGATGAACAACTTAAGAATAAAATATCGTTACCGTGACAATCGTTACCACGGCAATCACTTCAAATACGTCATGTTTGGAAAATATAGTCCGCATGCATTCTTTCTTATTCGTTGTACCAGGAGGTTTCTTATACTAAATTGTTCAAATATTTATAAAATCTCAGAATAAAAAGAGAAACGTATGATTTAAATCTATCTCATTGTAAAGCAAGAGTAAGTCGAAGAGTTTGTATATTTTAGAGGTTGATAGATCTATATTTTAAAGTCAGTGTTAGCTTCATTAATTTTTTGCCGCTATGTACAAAAATAGAGTTTAGCCAAACACTCGATCTTGTATTAACGACTTATTGACCAAGCGTGAGATCTGTAATGTAAAATATCAGACCGAGCAACGAAGCAACGAAGGAGCGAGGTCCATGCAAAAAACAGAGGTCTGATATTTCACAGTACAGACCGAAAAAGGGAGGTCAAT